CGGAAGGACCATACCGGATAATAGGTTATTCCTACGGTGCTTGCATTAGTTTTGAAATGGCAACGATGCTTCAGGAAAGTGATGGTGCGGACTCCGTTGAAAGACTTATACTACTTGATGGATCTCATCTTTATATGCAAACTTATCGAAATGTCCGTTTTTTTGTAGTTTGATTTTTAATTTTGTGCCTTGTCCAATTTTTAGAATTACTCCTCAAATGATTTTACAATGGATGAAAAGTTCCATGAATTAAAGGTTTATCGAATGGCGTTTGGCGTAACCGGTGATACACTTGTTAATAATCCGCTGTTTGAATCTGAAATTATGTGCGCTATGACACTGCGCTTTGCAAATGTCGATTACAAAAAGTTCCGAGTTGAATTGCTACAGCAGCCAGGATTTAGAGCACGAGTTCAGGTAATATTTTTTCAGTGCTTCTTTGGCTTTAGTATCTACGATTCTTAACTAGTTAAAATGTTTGTATTCTGAAGATTTGAACTTTTTCATGGCTTAAAACCCACGAAATTTTTTTTAGAAGGTTGTAGACACGGTGATGACGACAGGTCTCTTCAAATCAGCTGATACTATTGACTTCGCATGCTGTGCGATGCGTTCCAAGTTCGTTATGGCTGATAAGTAAGTTATTGCATTATGCAGGCTTATCATGACAAAATACTAGAGCTCTTAGATAAGTTTTATCTAAACAATTATTATGAATTCAACAATAAATTCATGATTAATTTTAAAAAGTCTAAGAATGAAATCATCAATTTGAGAGGTCATTTAGGTACAAACCGGAACGAAAATTTAAAGGATTAATAACTCTGATAAGAGCAGAACAAGGAGCGGCAAGAGAAGAGGATGTTGGCTCTGACTATGGCATTTCACAGGTAACGATTGCTTTTAAGGAGTTTCAGTTGAAGTTCTCCCATCTTGTTGGATGTATGTGAAGTTGAAGCAGAAGAATGGAGAAGTGATAGGAAAAAAAAGCAGGAAAATTGTTACAGGTATCCGACGAGAACAAGGTGTACATCGTAGAGGGTGACCACGACAGCTTTGTCCAAGGCAAAACTTCTGCAAAAACGGTAAACATAATCAACGACTTGATTGCGAAAGCGGATAAGAAAGTTAAAAACGTATAATGTATTGTTGGAAGGTATGTGTAGGAATAATCAAATTACAATTGCCATTATTGCGGTAATAATAATTATCAGTGTAGTCGTGGTCATAATTATACCCATAAAAGCAGCAACAACTTTCATGACTACGATTATAACTACGGTTATGATATTAATTGTAATTGCTATTATGGTTATGGTCGTGAATACAATTATGATTATGGAGGTAACTGTAACCATAACTAGGGGATACGATTATGATTGTGAATTATCAGTTTGATTATAAATAACTACAATCATAGTGCTGATTGTGATTATGATTATAATCATGATTGATGTTACGATTTTAAGTATGCATGAGAATTATGATTGTTACAGCAACTACAATTATAATTTTAACCACGATTATGATCAGTGTTATAAGTGCGATTAGAACTGCGATTGTGATTAAATATCGCACATTTCTTTCGTCTCAATCATTGCAACGAGTTTTATTTCATTCAAGATGTGTAAATATTTATATGTGCATTTTGATCAATTATATATCATGATGCAAAATAGGACTGGATATTTAGCTGGTTGATACGCCATGAAAGCACTGCTGCTTTCACAAAAATTGTATCGTTCGTTGATTCCCTGCCAAATAGAAGAAATCAACCGCTTGACGTTGTTTATTTGCGTTTCCGAGGTGAGTTTTTTCCCAAAAGGCATTTGCGGTAAGTATTCGTAAGTGGAGCTCGAAATATATGCCTAATGAGGGGGAATCAAGTTTCTACAATTTGCAAAAGTAATCTTGACTGAGAAAATTTTAGTATAATGTTTGTGATAACCACCAATTCGAGGTATTTTCGTGCCTTCTCTGTCACTTTTCTGTAACATGTATTTGTTTGAAGCGATTTCTGGTGCTTCCAAGTTCGTACCAACGACTCTTCAATATTCGCGCATGCTTCCAAGGTTGCCCGATTCTTTGATATCCATTTCTCATTTCAAAAAAGCCCATCATTATTTCCGGTTTTCCCACCGAAAATAATCCGGATGAAATTCGAAATTCCTTGACAAATTCTGATTTCTCTATACATTGCCGCGCCTCTTCCAAACCTTCCTTTTTACTCATCGATCATTCTAGTAATTTCTATAATAGTCACCAAATATTATAAATAAATAAAAAATCCTGCACTACAAATGCTTGAACTACCTTTCAAAGTAATTATTGTGTTTCAAGTGGTACGATCTTATAAATTTCATGTATGATAATATTATTTATCTTAAATGCAGAGTCCAAAGGCTTTCCAGTTGGAAATTTCTTCCTGTGAATGCTTCTTTGATGCTTCGTTAAAGTAGTGCTGTCTTAAAAAATGGTCTTATTTCACTAAATCATTATTTAAGAGTTCTGTCAGCTACACTTTCAATAATAATGTGATGACAGTTCACAGAACCTATGTTTATTTCTCTAATGAAAATAACCCAACAAATGCACTGATAGTGAGCGAATATCGCTAAAAAAAGAGATTCGAAAAATTTTGATATAAAACTGGTATGAAGACGATATTACCTGTAACTTCCCGTAACTTAAATTTATGCAGGACCAAACATATGAAGCTGGTACAATTCGTTCCATTAGCTTGGATACTGTTTGAAATTTTGAAGTAATAGAGTGATGTGAAGCTTAAATGTGACAAAATTAAGATAATACAACTCCTAATTCGAAATGATTTTGTTTCACTATTATCTGTTACAATGTTATAAATCATTCAGAGTTTCATAAGGCTGGATGATAAAGTCAGCGTGAACAACTTAAACAATTTCTGATAAAATTAATCCTGACGTATTGTTGAGACCATTGCGTGTCGTTATGACGTATGATTATCTCATTCACAGAGAATATGCAATAAATTTTTGAAGGGTTGGAGTAACTAATATCCAGTCTTGCATTACTCTTAAATGACAATGTCTCTGCTTAGTCTTTTGACCTTTAATTCCGTAAAATTGAATCTTCTCGAGAGCATATAATTCCAGGAGCTGAAGTTGATGAACTATTTTTGTCAAGTGTGCAAATGATAAAGGGCATTAATTTTTTAAAATATGGCATCAAATGTACTCAATTTTTTTAATTCACAGTTTTATTGCTTTTTTTTCTTTTTTTGGCAAAATTTCCACAAATATCAATGAGAAAACTTGAAATTACAGAAATCTAAGCAAAAAAGGAGAAAAATATATTACTGATAGAAGGCAAACACGATATGTGTCTCCTTAAGATCCACTTTTATACATCATAATCAAAAAATAAAAAAAATGATATGATCCTCATGGAGCTGTAAGCTGTCGGGTGAAGTGAAATTTGATCACACATAAAGTATCTTCACGTTTTCTGATGCCATAAGCCGAATGTCTACCATTATAATCAGAGGTGCACAACCGGTAAAAAAATTATAAAACCTCGAAGAAATCAAAGAAATGGATCCAATACCGTTGGATCAAATGCTGACCAGAGAAGAGAAGAAATCCGTCAACAGTACGAGACCATAAAAAGAATTATTGAAGAGAAAATAATGCGTCTTGAACCACACCTTGACACTTTCGACTGGATTTTCGGTTATAACTTCTAAACTTTCAACAACTTCAACCTTCCATTCTCCATTACTTTTCTTGATGGTATATAACTTGTTATAGAGCGATTTTTTAATAGGGACGTTCCTTATAGCGTCATAATTTCCTGGGATTATATGTAGCCTCTAATGGCTAGTAAAGCGTCTTCTTTAAATAAATATCTATATTGCGGCTCAAAACTATCCAGAATCCTCCCCATCATTTTGGATCGCCACTGAATATAAGCAGTAGTAGTTGAAAAAAACTCACAGTTGGATGATATGCTCTTCAAGGTGAGTTAGTTCATGTACTAACTTAGTGTCACTTCTCTACGTAGTTAAAAGGTTATGATAGTTTCTATTCCTTCAGTTATTATTAAATTTAAAACACCCTTTTCGCCGTCGACCATTTGAGTGTATTTTTCTTCTTGCCTTTTTCTTGACGAGATTGAGATTTATTGAATGTGTTGCAACGAATTTGCGTTGGCGTTTCGAGAGTATCAACGTGTGGTTCGCGGTGCATTATTTTCTCTTCAATAATTCTTTTTATGGTCTCGTGTTGTTGACGGATTTCTTCTCTGGTCACATTTGATGTTAGGATCCATTTCCGTCACTTCTTCGAGATTTCCTAATTTCTCTTCCCAGTTGTGCATCTTTGATTATATTATAATAGTTCATAGCACCAAAATTTGCTGTGGACGTTTTTGGAATAGCCTTAGTTTGGCACAGTCGAATAGTAGTGAAGGCTTTATTTAATTCCTGCTGGCGTTATAATTTTTCAAAAAATATTGGCTGAATGTATCACTATTCATCTTTATTGATTGATCCGAGAGAATAATTGGGGACTCTTTGTTGCAGCATTGGATCAAGAGAGAATAGATGGTTCGTTTCAGAGCAGCAAATTACACTGAAATGGCGCCTTAGCCCCTCTCGAGTTGAGCGGTTCCCGGTGAGTACCATATGTGATTAAGATCACTTGGTCATTTTATAGACGAAACTAACGGTAAAAAAAATTTTCAATCTTTGGTTTGTACCATTTATGTTTATTATCTCTTAGCGGCCCACTGGCCTGAATTGTTATCGTCCATCGTCAGCAATGTTTCGGCTGTTTACTTTTTCTTTTACTAACAAAGCAAAATCCAATACTGAGAATGATTCAAGGTTCAATTCCAGTGCAAATCGGATTTTCTTATCCATACGCCAATACATGAGCAGTGTAGGTTTTCAAACAAGATGAACTTAACTACTCTTCATTAACTCTGCTTCTGGATTATATCCGTAAGCTCTTAATCACTTCATGCATTTCTAACGTAAAGAAGCTTAAACGTGCACCTCTAGCCTAGTAGATCCAAACACTAGCTATGCTCTTATCTGTATACTTTAATTTTCCGTTTTATTAGAAATGTGAAAATATTTTATCTAAATCAATATTCTCCATTTCTTTTTTAAATCTGATTACGGCAATCGGTGATAGATGAGTGGTTCAAGCCATTTCTTTAATTTATAATTAATCTGTAGTTATTTTTGCTATAATAATTGAGAATACGTAAAATCAAAACGACAAAGTTACATCTCGCCCGTTAAAAACACACTTCAAATTGTTTGAATATCTTTTATCATTGAAAAAGAATACACACAACAGAAATGTAAGACGCAAGAAAGGTTTACAGCAGTCACACTAGCAAAATCAATGTAATCGTTATCAATTAATTCCTATTTGCTAAATGTAAAAAATTGCTGCACCAAAAAGATACTATTTTCTTCGTACCCAAATGATATAAGTTTACGAGTACATTCCACAAACTCCAGCAATGCTTACACAATAAAAAAATGCGAATTTAAAATTGACTGTTCAGCGAGTAGATTAATTGATTCTAGGTGAAATTCATTTCAGTTCACATGCGATTCATTGGATGGATATTTTTGCTTGTAATTTAAAGTTGTATTCAATTTGAACGAAGATCTGGAAATTTAACTCACCTGCACAGCTGTTGATTTGAACCCGCATTGGACAGTGAATCCTCAAACACCGGCTGAAATTTCAACAAATTATACATGTGAGGGATTGTAATGGTTACAAAAATGAATCGACAACTATAGATACTCACAGAAAGATCCCTGCTGTTCCACCTCTCGCTTATTACTAGAGAAAGGAGTACGAAGAACGCAATCAGAAGACAAGCGCCAGGCACAACAGTAACCACCACTCGGTAGAACCTTATACAGTCAACTGCACTTTCGATCGCTCTGCAAAGTCGACTACGTTATTTTGATTATATGAGTTTTCTGAATGGAATCAATGTTGCCAAACTAACACGCAGGAAGACGGACTGAACAGTTGGACTATTTGCAAAGCTAATCCGTTTGAAATCTTGTCCATCGAACTGAAAATGCCGTAAACAAAGGCACCATTCCTCTGTAAAAAAAATAGTGATCTGTTTACTGCATTCGTTTCAATCAAAATAGTATGAAAAGTACCGAAAGCAGCAAGCAGTGTTGTAGGCATAACATGTGAAAAGATAAGCAAATGAAACAGCAAAAAAAGCTAAGTTTATGGCCAAAATTTTTCTGATTTAGTTTACCTCCGCTCAGGTTGATTTGAGGAATCTATAGAAGCATTACTGTCTCTTATTGATTTCAAACTGTCTTTCAAATTTATTTGCATATGGCAAAAAACAAAAGATGAGAAATGAAAGAAAGAGGTTAACCACGTAATACTGATTTTATTTAATGACAAGAGATAAAAGAGTAAAAACAGTGAACAGACCACTAAAAGAATGAACTAACAACAGGCTGAAATAAGCATGATAACTGATAAGCTGTTGGTAAAAGCACACTTCATGTGTTTTTCCAGAAAATAAAAGGAAAAATATGCTGATATGACTATCGCTCATTTAAACAATCTAGTCTTCGGCACTAGTGAACATCATGCATTTTGCTTAAAAATTTAAGACGATCTTTCATACCTTGTAACTGCTTTCATGCTATAATAAGGTTTCAGGCATACTTAAAGGAAATTTAAAACAATGAACTGGAGAAATCAATACTTACTGTATCTTGTCTAATAAGTTTTGCCACTGCAGAAAGTGAAGTTATTAACAAAATTGCTTGGGCTATACCCAAAAGAACAGCAATAATATGAACTGGAAAATAAATATCAAACAGCATCACCATGCAACTTGCAATGCCACACAAACACCCAACAAAAGCTAAACTCTGAAAATGTAAGAATAGGAGAATAACAACACATTAAACTTCAAACAGAGAAATTTCCAAAATTTTAGAAAGTACACCGAACAAAGTTATATGATGCTACAGAATTTATGGACATTAAGATTACAAGAACTACAGTTTGTTAAGCTTGCCGTAATCTTTTCCTGCATAGTAACATCAAATAAGTTTTAAAAATCTGACGATTTAAAGTTTGAAAAAGTCTGAAGATGCATCGAACCTTGTTAACGTCTAGGTTTTTCTAGTTACCTTGTTCGTTTATACCATGTTCTTCTTATAAATACTAACTTAGCGTGCCAAAATGACCAGCAACAGCTTTCATGAATATGCAAAAGTATTACTTCCCTTCATATCCTCCATATACGTATGAGACTTAATTAAAGCCTACTGTATTTCCATTATCAGTATGACTAAAACACATTCAAAATGTGCTTACAAGAGCACTCTAGGCACTATGCGTACAAGAAAAATAGAACCCCTAAGTTTGAGCACGATTAGATCAAGCGTCATTTAGTAGTACTCTAATTTTATTCTGCCTTCCTTTCTCATTGTACAAGTAGCGTAAAAGATGCAAAATTCACTTCCAAGCTGCATCGACGATTTATAAAAGGTAAGCCAGTCAAGGCAGAAATCAGAAGTGACGAACAATAAGAAACCATCGGCAGTATAGCAACATACTTCTGAAGACAACAACAGTACATTAATAACTGAAAAATTATGAAAACCATATCAAGACAGTAGCTTTCAAAAGGGCGTAATATTTCAAGTAGTATAAGAAAATCTATAAGCCGGTAACGAAGAAGCTGATAGTAAAATCACCTTTGAAAAATTCGGCAAATGTGTAATGTAGAACGGAAAATAAACCTGCGATATGTTAATATACAATTTGCAAAGCATATGCAACATTCCAACCTGAAAAATAAGTATAACTATCAGATGTTAATGACTTACCGACTAACTGATTTAATTTTGAATTTTTTAACATAAAACGTGTTGCCTTCATATGATGGCGTTATCAATTTAACCGCTGCTACATTTCAACACATTTCCAAGGTGAATTGGAAAATTCCATCAGAAATGTTTTGTTCATAATTGTTGAATTGTCATTAGCTTGTCAAAGCAGAATGCTAAGTAGTTAAAAAGAAAAATTTAATGCAGTTCAGCCAAGCACGAATATTGTTGCCGGAAAATTAGCATTTTTCTAAACGCCACATACACAAAAAAGGAAAAATATCCGATAAACAGAAAGCAAACCAGCAACTGCAGGAAATCTTTGATTTTTGTTAGTAATCATTTGAAATCTCTCACTGTAATCTAATAATCCAAATTGCAATTATTTTCTTTAAAATGCACCGCTACCTGGTAAAACTGAAGACGATACATCCACTTAAGGAGTGATAATTTGAATGAATGTAAGATTCCAGACTGATATCGCAAATGAGCAGACACAATAACACGATCAGTTCTTGAAGGCTCATTTATTACGGTATAAAAAATAATTTCCATAAAAAGTCCCAAAACGATAACCATTCCCGACACTGTCTGTAAACGCAGACAGCTCATTTAAGTTCTATTAAAATATCATTTTCTAAAAATCGTTGGTAAAGAACGAAACGAGCTTACACTGAAATGCCAAAGATCCAATGGACCAATTGCAGAGCCTTTATCGTCAAAATATAACAGTACTGAGAGCAGTGAGAAAACAATTAGATTTGCAATAACCGTGAATCCATGCCTATACGAAAAAAAGCTAATAATAGAAACTGCACCAGACATTTTTTCCATATATGTGATAAACATAAATATATATCTGTATCGATTCATAATAAGAAACAACCTAACAGAGTTCATCATCGTTCGACGGCTTTCATTACATGTCAGCTCCGGTAACAAAGCCAAATGTGAGACCTATAAAAGATATTACCGTAATTAAACTTTCAATAAAAAATCTAGCAGAACGGACAATGTTGACGTGCATTTAGCTCAACTGGGCGATTATGACATATCCAAAGTTTACAAAAATGAGTGTAAAACAAACAAAACATAAAAAGATTACTTGCACAGCAGCCCATCCAAATTGAAATATAATTACATATGGTGCATACCATACAAAAACTTCCCAATCAGTCGTTGATTGACCACATATGAGGCACTTATTATAAATAAATGGAAATGAAAAAGTAACTAATACGGTACCTGCAGCAAAAAAATGTAATATAACACAATTTCTCTTAGTTTTTCTTTTCTCCAGTCAAAAAATATTTCCATCAAAAGTAAAATAAATATGTATTACTCATGCACAAGCAGAAAAATGTTGCGCTTCATGCAGTGATTAAAACAAGTGCAAGTAAAGTAATCATTCACTCAAAAATTCTTAACATTCATACAACTGTTCAGAAGAGCTACTGATTCCAAACCGTTTATCATATTATCATATTATGTAATTAAATAAACATAAGCATTTTTGTAAAAAAAAAAGTGCAAATAACACACCAAAAGCATGCCATGACTTCCTTTGTCCACAGTGTCGAAAACAAAGTGGTGCAGATTTCGAATCGCTCAGAACTCCAATGAACGCCGTGCTCATTGCATCAGTAGCCTATAACGAACTACTTGACATCATTCATGCCAAGACATTTATGAGCTCAGCTAATGCGAACAGGTACAAGTGTAACAAAACAAAAGACCACATCCTTAATTTACGAAAGAAAACCTGACAAATTCATCCATACCTATTTACAGAAAACATCTGTTATAAGACATCTTCCTCTCTCCCTCTCATTCAGGATTCTAAATCCAGAACAGTGCGACGTGAACGAAATTAATAAGAGAATCATTTCTTTCTTTTTTATATAAGAGCACTTGGCATGTTCATGAAACAATATTTAATTCTCCGTGACACTAAACATTTTCAATTCTAGATCTGGAGAGAAAAAACCCAAGAAATATAATGAAACCTGGCCTATTAGCATGATTAAACCCGCTGTAGAACTGCGCATTACAATCACTTTTTCCATAAATAACAAAAGATATGTGAACCACAAGCTGGCACACAAATCGTTATAAAAATGTCCAGTTCCATATCCAAATACCTGACAGCTACTCAATTCGTTTGATCTGTCTGCAGTCTCCTAAAACAAACATTGGAAAACGCCACGATACAAAGCTCAAGCTCGGATAAGCTCCTAACAAATGGAATGGACAAAAAAAAACATTAGAAATAGGTAAGGACAGTATAGTTCACGTAAAGTAGCAGTTCATCTGAAGCAGAAACGGATATTTTACCTGTGAAGCGGCTATCTTATTTTCATTTCCGTATGTGAGAAATGACCAGTGAACTTGGGGAAAATCTACATCAAATACACTGTTTTCTTTTGAATCCCTTTAACTTCTTGTTTATCTCTTCTAACATTTATCCCAAATGACCGGAATAATACCGAAATCGACGGTGAACAAAAGGGTAACTTACTAAGAACGCATAATACCAGTATGGGCCAGAAGAATCATGAAACTTCCAATTCGATATCGTGAAACCTATGCAAATATTGCTGGCACTTACCACCTCTCCGTAAATGTCACTTTCGACATCCGCCGCTTCTTCACTCTCCCTTCCTTGGCTCCTTTCCATTCCACACCTGTAGTTTCGAATTATATGCAGAGACGGAATGAGAAAGAACTTATCTACGTACCACCAATCTCCCACACTCTCTCTTCTGCGGGTTCCCGGGAGTCTGCTCACCGCCTTAGCAAGATGAACCCACGCCACTAAACCCACTCTCATGCCTCAGTGAAAAACGTCACTGAGCCATCTGCACGTATTCTATCTGTGTGGCTGCGCAAGTTCGTCTCTTCAGGGATTGGAGGAGTGCTCACGAGAATGCGTGGTAATTCTGTTCCATCTAACTGTGTGATGCCATCCTCAATGACAACATTCTTATCCGAGGGCGTTGTTGTCATCGCTCTTGCAATTGAAGTGTTCAATCTGATCTGCCGTCACCGCTTCCGCACTCTCAGCTTTTTCATCCATCAATTATTGCCTAGAATCTACCCTTTTCCTCATCATCTTTTCATATTTGACGGTGTTACTCATTATACTGCATGGGAGTTCCAAGAGTTCCATGTCAAATCATATAGAAGACTGAATCACGATTTAGTATATATTTATAGCCCCGTTTAATGACTCATTAAATCACTGTGTTGTACAATGATTATAACGTTGGAAGAGTTGTCTGTCTAGAAATCAGTCCAATGAGCTTTCAATTGGAGCCACAAAAAAGTTGCTATCCTCTCTAATTCATGATTATTCCATCTTCCACAACGCCTTTTATATGCTTTTGTAAGCAATTAATTAATCTTTCAATAAAACTATGATCAGTCGAGTGCTGTAATGATAACAATTTTTTTACATTTTAGATCAGTTTCGATAATTAGAACTTTTTTAATGCAATGTGAAAGTTGCCAATAAATATTCGCATAATACATAATTTTATCATTTTCACTGTTTTTAGGTTTAACTGATATCTTAGAAGATGGTTCATTTATTTTTTCGCGTTCGCGGTTTTATTGATTCTGATAGATCCCAAATTTCATCTTCACTCAAATAATTATTGAATCCATTAAAGAACTGAATAACCTTTTCATCCTTCTCTATCGAGTAATTCCTGCAAAAGATGTTGTTTGTTTCCTGAAATATTGATAAGAAAACCTTCTCTTTGGCACCGGGAAGGACGATAACCATAACTTACCAGCTTTTGAAACATCGGATACTATCTAGAATGGCAAACTGTTGCCATCTTTTGCCATAGTTTAGGAGATTTTTTCTACCATTGCTTTGTTCTGGTGGGAGATAATCGCTGTTCCCGATATGTACAAATGTTAGATCTTGCAGAACAAGACCTCTGCAAAATAATTATCTTTTAATGGATAAGATAAGATGTGTGGTGATGCAGGATGGGAAATATTCGGCCTCTTCTCTCTTTTAATGTATTATTTCCTCTGATGATAACATAATGTATGCCAATAAAAAATTGAAGCTTACATATAAGGCAAACATGGAGGACGACTTTCGCCCAGCAAAGTGCGATAATTTTTGAAAGAATGTGAGCTGTCCATCACGACTGAATGTTCTTTCAAGAGATCGGTGATATGTTTGGACCAGTCCAGTCTCCGGATGGGGCTCGAATCTAGTGCTGATAAGATCGCCAAATAGGAATTGTAATTGCCCACAATGCGCAAATGCTGCAGTGAGAAATATTTTGAAATTCGGAGCCAAGTAGCTAGCATCTTTAAGACAACAACTAGAAGCTCTTTACTACGTGGATCTCATTCATTCCAGTTTCAGTTTAGATATTCGTAGCAGGCCATCCCCGACGCGTATACGCTGAGCACAGTCATGATAAGTCATCTCCCGTGATTTATCTATCTCTTTTTACGATGTGCACCCCTACCTAATTTTCGGATGCCATTCGAATGACCTTTTGTGCTTTTGTGACTAGATACTCGAATAGGTTCCAATTCCTAGAATGATGCAGCAGCAACGGCATCAATTTCCTTTCGCATTCCATTCCTTCTCTTTCTGTCGCTCTCAGCATCATTTCCACAAATCCAACCACCAATGAATCGTCAAAATTCTTCAACTTTCTTTTCATCATTTTACGGAGCAGAGAATTGTTGGGTATTAGAGTTATGTTCTCTTTTTATAGGTCTTCTTCTTTCAAGGTATTCAACGCCTTGCGATTATCGAGTGTATCACTTGTCCACATGTTTAATCGACCTGGTACTTTTGCATTCAACTCAGTCCAAGTCTGTCTTCACTTTATTTTCTTGTTGAACCAAATCTACAGCTCGTTCGCCTCTGCCATTGATGTCATTTGATCACCTCTGTTCTTTCAATCCCCAGTTCTAATCTTTCCAAAGTTTCGGATTTTTCATCATTTCAAGTTTTGTAGTGAAGCTCAGAATGATTGTGAACCTAGATGATTCTAAAAGTTGGCGTTATCTAGCCGGAGAAGGAGGAAATACGTCCACCAGCGGCGAACATAATTCAGGATGAGTGGAACGGTTCTACAGTATTTCTTCACCTTTTATCCGCTCTAAAATGGTTATTACTATTCTCCAGGTCACGTTAATTTCCACCCTTCGACGCGTCTCACATAGTCCAAAGATATCGCAGAATGTGCTACCGTGGAGAAGATAGTTGATGGGGTTCTTCCCTCGACCTGCAATTATAGGTGCATATTGGAGGTCGAGTCTGTCCCTAATACCGGGATGATAGGACCTGAGACAGTTAGGAATGCATCATCGATGGGATTACACTTCTCATCACAGACCAACCAAGTAATCAGAGCAGTGAAACCAATTTTTTATGGCGCCTTAACTTTCTACTGCATGTTATTCTTTATCAGGCTTCTAAATGAAATAATATCGCTCATATTTTACTCAAATGTCTTTTTATGATCTACTTCAAGCAACCTAACATAGGTGAACCTTAAAGACTAGGTAACTAGGTAAAACCTGAAAGACTAGAAGTGAGTATCTATAAAGAAGGGCACCTTCATTATTTTGACAAATTTCGACATCATTTTTTCACGTATTCTCTGCTCACTTGATGTCAGGACGAGAGTTCGGACCCAGTATGAGACCTGAAACATCTAGAAATGAACAAAATTTATGGAACTCGTTTTCATTTTTTCACCAAAAAAGTTCTGGAACTATTGATCGACTAAAATTTAGAAGTTTACATCGTCACTTCCTGTAGACAGTACTCAAAAAGAAGGTGAACATGACGGCAGTGAGATAATAAACTTTTTACCTTGTTAAAATGCTCGGTAAAACGGCATAAGTTTGGACTTTTTTTCTCATTTTGTTCTTGTGCCCACCAAAGCATTTCAGCTGGCTGAAAGTGTCATTTGGACGTTCTTCATTTCTAATAAAAAATTTATACTAAAATTTCTGGAACTGCAAATATAAGCATATTAGAATTTCTCTCTTCCGCTATCTGAAAGAAAAAGTAAATAATGATAACGTGATAGCAATCCTTCAGCTACATCTTCATTCTTCTGCTCTTCAAGACTCACAGTTGAAATTTCAAATTTCACCTCAATCATATGGAACAGTTCCGCATCCAAATAAGTCATTTGTTTGGCGATAGTTACAGAGCGGATATCAAAAATTGTTAGATGCCTAAAGTAAAAGATATTACATACGAATTGTATAAGAGATAAGAGGGATAAAAGGTTGCCTTGAGTTCAATCCTCTTATATTAATTCGTTCCTTTGATGCGGTCATGGATTTCTGTGTTGACTTCAGATCCATTCGTGACATTAGTCTTTTCCTGGAAGCATTATTGAAACAAAAAATCACATCAAGTTTCCGTTATCACCTGGAACTTCTCCGTTGTCCATTGTACAATTATGAAAAACAGAATAACCTCAATATCCTTGCAAAGGTATAATTTTCATCTTTAACAAGGCGACTTATGAATTTTGTAATTAGACGAATAAGTTTCCGTGTTTGTTCCACCGCACACAATTCATCAACCACTCGTACCAACATTGAAAAAGTTTGGCGAGCCACTTTCACTGACTGCTGTTCTTTTATGGTACACATATACAAATACCTGAACAACTTGGAACTTTCAAAAAACGTGAAATATATGAAACTTTGGCATCTGTCGACAAATATTTTCTTATCATATGTAGTAAACACATGATCGCGAGAGGTTTCCATCAACAGGTTACTGCCAGGGGCTTACTTAGGTATATAACAATTATTTCGGTATGAATGCCAGATTGAAGGGATAAACTGTTCCAGCTTATATACCTTTTAATCAGTTTTTGGATAAGTTCATCCGACTCGACAAAGCTGCGATACGTTGTGAGAAAAGCCTCTTGATAAAGTAATGATCCTGATGGTTGCGTCGCAAAGGCAATCAATGCGTCTTTAGGTCCACCACGAACCTGCACAAAATTGCAATGGAAAAATGAAAAGAGACTTGTGTTCATATAATTATAATGCCACACGAACAAAGCAAGCTTACTTCGTTGGGTTTGGAAACCGCATCATGTGCTCGTAACATTAACCAGTCTGTCACATCAACACATTCCAAAATTTCTGGAGCCTCCGAAGGTGTCAGTGAGGTTGTTTCTTTCGAGACGGCCTCATTCTAGAGCAAATACTTGCTAACAGCTGGTGACGAACTTTTCAAATATTCAAATTTCCGAAAAAAAAAACTAAAAATTCCTTTCGCAAAGGCTAGTTTAATACCCCATTATGACGTTTATCAGTAATAATTAGACAGTCTTTAAATGGATACAGATACCCTAAAGAGCAACTAGAAAGCCAAATTTCCGAAGTCAGATTGAGGGCTAAGGAAAGTGGTCAAACAGCCGATTTTATAAACCTCTTTCCTAACGCTAATAAACGCCAATGACAAGCATCTGCAACAAGGTAGCTGTGAAGTTCGAAGACTTAAATGAGTAACCGTTAATTGCAATTTCGAAGAACTGTTCCCACATGTCAAGGACCTGTATGGGAATAAGCCGATATTTTACTACAAATGATATACCACTTCACAGATATAAACAATTTAAATTCGAAAGATGTAATGAAGATCCTTTCATTCTTATACCTCATCTATATATCGTTTTGGGAGCATAATTCTGTCAGTTTCGGTGTATTGTAACAGTTGGCTCAAATCAGGGAAGTTCTGACTTGACACAGCTCCCCCTGCAGAAAATAGTTCGTGCTACAAAGCTAATATAGTAAGTTGAGAGTAAAAATGAACTAAGCTATTTTATTGATTTACCAACATGAAAATGATGAATCTTTAATGATTTCCATGCATGGGTCGATTATGCTAAACCGGATAGGAGATATAAAATGTAGAGCAAAATTAACGGGAGAGATGGAATGAGAGGAAAAGGGAAGAACAAGAGTAATGTGAAAGGAGAAAAACCGAACTGGATAATGAAAATTCGAATGAAATTCTTTTCTTGTACTGTTCCTCATGATATCGTAAATTATCGTTCAACACAACGTATGAAGCAAGTGTTGAGCCCTTGAAGAAGTCCTGATCTTCGCTTTTGTTTCCAAAAGTCTGCAATTTCAGCTTTACTTCTGATTTTGGTCAGTTCATTTATAACCTTAAATAAACCGTACAGCTGAGACAAACGAAGATTCGACTGGCAGCGCAATATTACAAATAGCTATATTCAACTAGCAATAATCAACAAACAGTCAAATGCAAATCACCTGCATATATTGAATAACGTGACGCTGCTTCGGTGGAATTGGAGGTGAGGATGAGGACTTGGTGAGACCCATTTTCACCGTACTGTGCTCTTCGTAAGAACCGCTTCCCTGACAATCCAGCAACTCAACATCCTGAATATCAGTAATTTGAACTGGAACTCTTCCAGCTCGATATTAAGGAATGAAACCCAATTCCTACTTATTACGATTAACTTAACTAACTGAAACATTGCTATATATTACCTTAAAAGTTTCCACTTGCCTGGCATTTAGTTCACTTCTATCAATTTTCTGTGCAGCATCATCAGCGATGATTTTTCCATTTTTCTTCGCTGTCTTCGACACTTTTCTGGAAAAATTCTGAATATGCATAGGCATTTCCGAATTATTTATATATATATATAATGATAATTTACTGGGAAACGGTATCTGTGTGCTGAACACTTTTGATTTTTTGTGAGATGCTTTCATCCGGATTTGTTGGATCATCCGTCGTCTTCAGCAAATCATCCAAACATTTAGCTTTATCCAAACGGTTACGTCCAAATGAATTTCGAGGTGTCGTGAAAAAATCATCAGTTGCCAGATCATCGTTAAACGACGTATTGCCATCATGGAAGGTATTCACGATCTCATCACCTCCATTACCATGTGACCGTACCGTTACCTGCACCTTTTCTTACTTAATTATACAATAATCATGATTAAATCAAAGCCATAAATTAACAACAGAACGATAACGATAAACAAACTGGAATATAAGTAGTATAGGATTTAAAAATACCTGTTTGCTGTTTTGCTGCATATTAAATGTTCTCGTTTTCCGTGTTCTTATTTCACTACCATCTGACAATCGCTTAACTTCCTCCTCACAGGTTTTTGTATCCTTTTTCTCTTCTCGTTCTTCTCTGAAATTACAAAAAAATTGATTTTTTTAGATTGATTATTAGATTCTAGCACTATACACCCTGCTTAATTAATCACTTATACTTTTATTTCTAATGTGAAGATTTAGTTTTCATAATTGCAAAAGAAATTTACTTTTTCTATCTTAAGCAATTTAATATATACGTAAAAAAATGAGTCGAAAAACTTTGCTAAATTAACTAATTTAACAGATATGTCGATCTTTCAGTACCTTTTTTCATGGATAATATCCAGGTCATCTTCGTCACTATCTTCATTTTCAACCTGCGGGAAAATTGGTTCAAATTTTGTGACTTGGTGAAGATTCAGCTGCGCCAAGAGTTCATCGAGACTTTGATCCATCAAGCTGACATCAATGGTCCCTTAAAAAATTATATGTTTGAAGTTTGGGGATAGTTAAGGAAGTGGTTAAAAAAATCGACTGAAACATGTAATGGGTAGGTGTCAGAATCACGATTTAATACATGTTTGTTATGATTTTTAAACTACAATATTAAACCGCAATTTTAATATTAAAGTTACTAAACTTCTAGCCAGTTTCCAAGCTATCAATTAAATCAATTTAATATCGGATATTCCCAGACCTATGAAAGTATCATTTAATGAGTTAAATGAGTTGACAAAAACCTGTCATTGTCTTCTTAAAGAATAAAAAGAAAATTTTACATTTCATATCTTTGTGTGCTTCTCTTTCGAAATGATTAATTTTTGACTGGATACTATCAATGCGTTTAGCACTTGATACTTAGCGTTCCTTTCTATTTTGCTACGGTTAAAGGAAACTCACCAACATTTCCGAATGAGTGATTTAAAGAGGAAGTTGTGTCAGCATTGGATGTACTGTTGAAGTCTGGATTATTTGGTACCGTGGATTTGCTGTTATATCCGTCATGAAATCCGACTAGATTAGTATGCTCAGGCTTCGAACCACCTTCATATGACTTCTCATCAATTTCCGCAATAGCCTATAAATTGTTAATGCTTTTTAGCAATTATGTTAAAGCTTCAACATATCAAGAAGACATTTCCGTCTATTGGCAGAAGAAACCCAATCATTCCAATCTAATCATACAATAAATTAATCGAACTGGTAGGTATAATCTCTTGGAGAAGTAAATTTACAATTGTTTTCGAAGCATCGTCGCACATTTTTACCCAACCAAGTCGCGCTGCATTGAATAATTGTACAATCCCTATAATTTAGCCTGTGGAATAATTACTCCTAGACTTGCCTACTAAACTCGTTCTCCAGAAATATTAACAAAATTTGCAAACTTTCAAGAGCTCGGTAGCCAGACGTGCTCCTTCATTTCCATCGATTTCCGAGCTCCTTGATTGTGCAATAGCATCAATATCATCATAGATATCACTTGATAAAATCTTGTTTTCAACCCAATCTAATAACGCTATTAGGGCATCCTGTAAATTAGATGGATCTTATCATGAATAAAAGTTGTCGGATGGAAAGTTCGAAAGCTATGAGGGTGTGCGTATGATTATCTATGCAGTAAAAAGCTGAGAATAAATGGACTAACCTGAATAGAAGATGCAGGGTATTTCAGTGTTGCTATATAGGAAAGGACTGAATCAAAAACAGCACTGGCACTGCCAATAAGTACTTCAAACATGTCGGTACGTATAACTTCATGTAGGAACTGTATTGATACCTCAATTTCTTTTACTGATTTCTTCATTGGTGTAGAAGCAGCGTTTGAAATTTCCTGTGTCAAATAATAAAGTTAATATAAAAAATGAAATAAAGTAAGGATTGTAGAAGCATAAAATATTAATCACGAGATAAACTGATAAAGACGTTTAAAGACTATTTATTTTACTTACAATGGAAGGTACTGCAGTGTCAGATGTCCTCCAATGTGGCACAGTGGAAAGTTTTGACTCGTTATGAGAAACTGTACTGGGCGAGGGCTGAAAAGTAATCTGAAATGTTGTTGACACAAACTTTTCACATTTTCATTACACTTTTTGTTAGGTTTTCGTTTAGTGCAAAAGAATGCAAGATAGTGTATATGTTTGTGGTAGCAGTAAAGAATAAAACTAAAGTGTCCTCTTGTTAAATGAAAGCTACAGAAATTTTAAGAATGGAAGTGATTTAACTTCTGCTGGTAATATCGATAAAAAGCATTTCCGGTTCATTCATAAGAAAATGGAAAATGGAATAGCTTGAATGAGAAACCGAATATTTCTAGCCCAAGAATTAATAAGTACTTACAAAGAGGACTGAATTAAAAACAATTCTCATAGTTGAAACAAGAATAGATAAAATATTTCAAGTGCACCAGAAGTTTTAGGTGTTCTATGATTTCATTGCCTGACTCAATTTGCAATTTAGAAATTCAAAACCCTAAAATAATCGTACACAACCTAAATTCTCAAGAGAAATTTAGAATTATTTTAACCGGTGATGCTACTGTGACAACAGTATGACAACATTATATCAATATTGCATATTAGAAGTGAATAATTAAGAGAAGAGATGACGGCAGAATAGTGGTAATGAACATTTCAAATTGAGGATATGTCAATAGCCTCGTCTTTTTAAGCACGTTTTTGAGGAAATCGGTAAGAATGATAAATAAATAAAAGTAAAAAGCATCAGTTAATTTAAATTTGCTGAGGTAGAGGAAGTTGGATGTAGTGAATCAAAACTGCGAGGATATTCTATTCCATCTCCCTGTGATATCGAATTTCATACCGAAATTGTCGACTATAATCCTCTGAAGAGGTCTTATCATACCAAGTTACTTAACCACCCGCTGATTAGATCATCTCTGATTTCTATTAACAGCTATCCCTTGTTTGACACTGTATTGAAATTTATAAATGATATTTTCCTCCACATTCTACACTCTAATGTTTCAAAATACACTGATCAGTATAAACATAATTGTATCATAGTA